TCTAAGTGATTGATCTTAGAAGTGATTGATACTTGAATATTTTATGTTATATATACATATTTTTATATGAAAAAATATTTTAATTATACAAAACTCATTTAAAAAAAATATACTCCTTTAATTAACAAGAAAAAATTTCATTTCCTCTTTTCTGTTTGTTTTCTGATAAGAAAAGTTGCTGTATTAGGCAAAATAATATCTTCAATGCAAAAGTCAGTTCAAAATACTTATAGGCTACAATTGCAACCTTTTACTCTTGGTAACCAGCATACACCTCTCTTCTAGAGCCGTATTTGAAAAGGCACATTCCAAAAACAAAGCTGCCTTGGGGAAAAAGAAATGATTGCACAACTCTCGATAATGTTCTGGTATTCAGAACACAAAGTTTGCACGCTAAAGAACAGAAAAGGGCCATTTTAGGGAAGCTACGACTAACAACGGCCACTTTTAAAATCCAGAATTGTGTTGTTATAAAAACTTCTGGCCATTCATTAAATCATACCCACAGAATCAAGGGATGTATGAGCTGGAAGGGATTTATAGGTCATCTGGTCAAGTTATTGCTCAGTGGAGGAACATACAGGTAGCGCTCATTTACAGACCACAACTGGGACCAGCAACTTGGTCACTAAGTGACACAATGGTGAATTGAAATATAAGATGCCCGTGACTAAATTCTGCATGGTCATAACCCTATTTTTCAGCATTGTCCTTACTTTATATGGTCACAGAACGAACAATCTGTAAGTGAGGATATCTATATTTTCTCAGAGAGGTCGACATCCCAATCTACTTTGGAAACCTCCAGCTTTTTCTCATCTAAGTGTTATGTTATATAGCCACCCAAAATCACTTCTTGTGAGATGAGCAGCTTTGTCATTTTCAAAAATAAAATAAAGCAAAATAAACTGTTCCACTGTTTACCATTCTTATCCTTAAGAAATTCCTCCTAATATTCCGCTTGATTCTTCTTTCTCCTAATCTGTTAATCCATATTTTGCTCTTAGTTTCAACAAAGAACAGATTAATCTCCTCTTACATCTAGCAGCTTTTTAGTTAGAATATAGAATAACAGAACTGGAAGGGAACTTGGAGGTCTTCTAGACCAACCTCCTGCTCAGGCAGGAAACCCTCTACCATTTCAGACAAATAGTTGTCCAATCTCTTCTTTAAAATGACCAGTGCTGGAGCATCTACAACTTCTGGAGGCAAGTTGTTCCACTGATTCATTGTTCTAATTGTCTTAGTTCTATGTTGCTTCTTTCCTTGATTTGTTTCCATTCATCGCTTCTTGTCCTGTCCTCTGGTGCTTTGGAGCAGGGGTTGCCAACCTTTTGGACCTCAGGGACCACCAAACTCATAATTTTAAATCCCGCGGACGAGAGACCCTGGGAAAATCCCAAAAAAAGTCTGCAGGAAAATTCCCCACTCCATTTTCCTACCGATCGATTATTCTTTATTTGGGATCGCAGGGTACTGTCTCCAGGTCTGTTCTCAGGGGCAGAGAGAGAGAGAGAGACTTTTGGCTTCATGCAAGGAAAGCAGCAGAAGCAGCAGAAGTCTTTCTTTCTTTCCCCCAAACTCTGCCAGAAATGAATCTTTGTGAGACTTGTTGAACCAGCGCAGCCTCTTGGAACAGGATGCCTTGAAGGGTCCCAAAGACTCATTTCTGGCAGACTTTGGGGGAGAGAAAGAAAGACTTTTGCTGCTTTCCTTGCATGCAGCCAAAAGCAGAAGAAAGAAGCAGCAGAAAAAAGTAGCCCAGTGACCGGGCCAGGCGCGTGAAATGTGTGGGGCAAATTCCCCCCTCTACCCTTTCCCGCCTCCCCTCACTACCTCGTGTTGTTCGCAATGCAAGAGATGCAAGACTTGTGTTCCCATGGGCTATGTGGGCAGCACAGCCTTGTGTTCCCGCATAGCCTGGATTAATTGCTTTGGGGGTGACATTTCTCTGCAGACCACCAAAATTTTCTCGCGGACGACCACTGCTTTGGAGAATAGGTTGACTCCCTCTTCTTTGTGGTAACCCCTGAGATATTGGAACACTTATCATGTCACCCCTAATCCTTCTTTTCATTAAACTAGACATACCCAATTCCTGCAACCGTTCTTTATGTTTTAGCCTCCAGTCCCATAATCTTATTCCTCTTCTCTGCACTCTTTCTAGAGTCTCAACATCTTTTTTACATCATGGAAACCAAACCTGGATGCAGTATTCCAAAAGTGGTCTTTCCAAGGCATAACAAAATGGTACTAACACTTGACATGACCTTAATTCTATTAAAGCAGCCTAGAACAGTATTCGCTTTTTTGGCAGCTTCAGCACACTGCTGGCTCATATTTGATTGTCCACTAGGACTCCAAGATCCCTCTCATAGTAACTACTACTGGTTTTGAGCCAGGTACCACCTTCCTATACTATACCTGTGACTACCTGTTAATTGTACACTGCAACTTGTCTTCCCTACACCTTCTCTTATGCGAGTTCCTTTAGTTATTTCTCACAGAGTTAGTTTCCAAACCACTTTCGAACTACTCTCTTTCAAAGTGCAATGCCTTGAACTACAGTATATCAAGCGTGTTTTAACCCCACAGAGTTCTTTGCATCGTTTACATTCTGCCATCTGGGCACAATGTTTCAGTTACTAAAGCTCAATTTTGTAGTTGCTATATCCTACTGAGGTAATTTCAAATTGTGATTTTTGTCCTCTATCAGCCAATATCCTAGTTTATTCTCTAAAACAAGGGTCTTCAAACTTGGCAAGTTTAAGACTTGTGGACTTCAACTCCCAGAATTCCTGAGCTAACATGACTGGAGGAGGAATTCTGGGAGTTGAAGTCGACAAGTCTTAAAGCTGCCAAGTTTGAAGACCCCTGCTTAAAGTATTAGCTAATAACTAGTTTAATGTCAACAGTCTATTTGATAAGCTTCATTTTTATTCAATAATCTAGATAATTTCTAAATATGTCAACTCACAATTCAATATTTTAGCTCCTAGATGATGCACAGTACGTCTGTTTATAAAGTCTTTTGGGGGTAGTTATCCAACCAGATGAAAATTCCCCAGATCAAAACAATGTTTACTTCACATTTATCCATTATACCCACAAAAGTTAACAGGGAAAACTCTGTCACATGTTTTACTATGTTCAAGTTATACTACCTCCACTGCATTCCCTTTGTCCACCAAGTTAGTCATTCTATCATAGGAAGAGATTAGTCTTAATATTGGTGGTATTTTCTCCCTGTTTGTAGACATGCTGCTTGATCATCTGTTCTAGCACCTTGTTCAGCATCGTTTTTAAATCATTTGTAGTTCTGGATCCCCCCTTTCCTTTTTTGGTATTGGGATTGTGTTTACTCTTCTCCAATCTTCTGACATTTCACTACTTCTCCAGATCTGTTCACAGATGGTGGGAAAAGCAGAATAAGAGAAACTGCAGGTTGGGAGAACATTTTACACCCCTTTTTCAAATTTGTAGTGCTCTACCTTAGCCATAATTTTTAGATGTTATGATTTTGCTGTTTGCAAATGTAATTAGTCTATTGTCAAAGGTTATTCAACAAACCATGATTGATACAATTTAGTATAATGTATCTGATCAATTCTATCCTTCTCAGTGGATATGTTCAGCCAAAACCAAAAAACCTTTTTCGGTACAGCGTAACGTGTGTATGTAGCTACTATAGTTTGTCACAGCAGTAATATTCTGCTCACCCAGTATATAATCCTGTTTTCAGGGCCAAAATTTATGCTATTTCTTTTCTCTATACAGGAAATTTTCCACAATTTTATTTACCCTACGAGACCAATGTAACACTGTGATACAATCAAATTGTTTTTCAGTCTTAAGCCCCCCAGTCATAAGTCTATTTCTGCTCTGCACAAAACATCTATACCATCCTATACAAACTGGGCATAACTTGTTTTTTATGCCTTCAAGTCAATGTTGACTCCTGGCAACTGCCTAACTTTCATAGGAGTCCAAAAATGAGCATATAAGTCTACATATATCAGCTTGTCTTGGCCTACAGGATCAACTTAATGTCAGAATCTTCTGTTCTATAAAATTGCCACACAAAGAAAAGCCTCTCCTTTTGTATTTGTTATATAACATGTGTCCACAGCATGGATAAAATAATGGCTCTCAAAACTGCAAGGGCCTCATCACAAATTAATCAGGCAAGTTACTTGCCTTGTGTAGTTTACAACAAGTACAAGCTTAAAAAGGTGTGTTCTTTCCCACAAAGCTGACTTTTTGTGA